GTTCAACAAACAAATAATTCACTTTAATATCAGACGTAATCTTCATATGTTGAATTGAAAATGGCAATGCTCTTTGAATTGAATTCTTAGTACCATATCTCATTGAGATGAATCAACGTTTAACTTGTTCTATATATCAAGGTACTCAAAAGTTGTGTCGAAACTCACAATGAAGATTCGAGAATATTAAAGGTCAAATGGATATAACTAAAAATCAAAATGAGTGAAAAAAAATCAATTTTCCACCGCACAAGGATGTTCAAATTTTTTGTTGGCGATTGAAATCCATTTTTGACCTAGTAAACGTTCGAATTGAAAAAGAGCTATTTCTATCAAAGTTGTAACCCTTTGAGTTATATTTCCAACGCATTTTAAATCGATTTAATCGGATATCGGAAAAGTTATGATAAAAATACTCGAACAGCCTCAACTTAACAGCCGACTTTTTCGACTGTTAACAGTCGAAAAATCAACTGTTAACTACCAAAAATCAGTTGTTAACTGCCAAAATTTCAGCTGTTAACAACTGATTTTTTCAGCAATTAACAGCCGAATTTTCAACTGTTTGTCCTGATTATTTTTTTCGTAACAATAGTTTTATTTGTTAACTAAAAGGGTAGTATTGTATTTTTAATACATACATGTTTTGTAATTGTTTTAGTCACTTAAGGGACTTTTTGTCTTTTTACAGTAAATGGATCATTTTGGAAATATTAGTTAAGTAAAAAAGTTAAAATAAAATTATGAAATTTTGACTAGGTTATTTTTAAAAGAACCCCTATAATATATTAGTTTCAAAAGCTAAATAATTCCTTAATAATCACTAGTAGCATTTTATGGGTTTCCACGGTAATTACCCCGTTGAACCATGGCCAAGTATCTAGTACACCAATCACCATTGTCACGTTCTGTGAGTTGGCACCAACGTCCAATACATATATTATCACACCTATAATTAGAAGCGGTCCTGAAGGTGTGCTAATCGAGCGACCGCATAGGATCTCAATATCGTAGGGACACTCAAAAAAATTTCTTGTAGGTGTGTGTATGTGTGTATCTATATATATATAAAAGTTGATGAGTTGTGTGGTCGACTTTATCTAACAAGTGGAGAAACTAGGGTGCTAATATTGATATATGTATTCAGGGGCGGACGCAGACCTTCAAAGTTAGGGGACACAATCGAACTTGCAAAGAAATTGGAAGAAATTTTACAATAAAAAATTTACGTCCAAAAAAATTACACCCCATATAATTTTACATCCAAAAATTTACATGGGATATGACTTTTTCGGATATAAAATTTCGAAACTTTTTGATGTCATATTCTATATAAAATTTTTTAATAAAATGATGAAAATTATATTGAGAAATTTGTATTTCAAAAATAATAAATGTTAATGAAATAATTGAATTTTTCTTAAAAATGTTGGTTAGACGTCTTTTTTTAAGACTCACGTTTAACATATTTTTAACTATTTTCTATGTCTGTTTGAACTATTCGATATGCCCATAATTTAGTTCTCGAAATAAGTTTTGAGATGATATAAACAATTTGTAGATTCGATTAGCGTACGATCGTCGGAGAATTTTTAAAATTGATATTGAAATTCAAATTTATTGTGATTTTGCCCCTATTTGGTGGAGATTAAAATCAATTTTAACTATTTTCGATATCTGTTTGAACTATTCGATATGCCCATAATGTAGTTGAGATGACATAAGTCATTTGTAGATTCGATTAGCGTACGATCGTCGGAGAATTTTTAAAATTAGCATATTATCAAAATTCAAATTTATTGTGATTTTGCTCCTATTTGGTGAAGATTAAAATCAAATTTTTAGTAAATTTTGATAAAAATTAAAACATTTATGGATTCCATGAAATATGTTATTAAAATTAATTGTTAACTTTGATTTAAATTAAAATTTAGATTTTCAATCGATACCGATTTTATTTAAAAAAAAAAAAAAAATCTCCAAAGTTGGAGGGCAGTTGCCCCCAGGACTCCCCAAGTCCGCCCCATGTATGTATCTGCACATGTTATATAATATACCATCGAAATGCTCATTGAATGAGCACAATGCACTTTACGAATCACAAGCTCGAGCTTTAGGAAAAACTTTACACGTACTTCATTTGGATTGCGCCACTATTAAAGAAGGGAGGTCAATCCTTGTCCACCCCACCCCCCAAAAAAAATAATGTTCAGAATATGGCAATAAGTAAGAATGTTAAATAGTCCTTTACTGGTTTTCACGTTTTCAAAATATTGCATAATGAGCTCAATATTTATATATCAAAAGATCCATTTATATGTGTGCTTTTCGATTTCCATCTCAAACATTAACATTAAATTCCATAATCAAAATTCTATTGTAAGAAGTGAAATAAAAATATTCTTTCAAAATACCTTTTCCAGAACTTTTGCATATTATTGAGTCCAACAAAAGAAAGTTAAGAAAATATTTAATAAAATTTATTAATTAAAGGCTACAAAAAGAATGCAACAAATTGTTTTCAAATAAACAATTATTCCAAATTGGAAACAGAAATGGTTAAATAAATAATTAAAAGTTCAATTAAATACAATGATTTATAACCTAGTTCATGGAACCAATAATATGCTGATAGATATACTGATATTCAACACCACTGGTGATAGATAATAATTTTCATTTGAATCAAAGTCCCTCATAGGCAGCTACTATCCCGACATAAATCTGCCACTATGATATAATATCAATTGTATCAAGCACCAAATTATTTTATCTTAATTTCAGTTTTTGATTTAACTATTAATATTTTAAAACTTCAACGATATAAAAAATTTATAACAATATTACAAAATTACAAAAAATGTAATGGTTAAATAATACAGGGAAAATTGTAGCCACGATACCAAATCTTTCATTTAGTAGCAGATTTTATTCAAACTTTTCATTTGTGCCACTTACGGTACCAAACATTTTAAAAACTCTTTCCTGGAGTCCAAATTGATACTTTCTGTTAGTTTGATCGTCAGTTGATCGGAGAAGTGATCTTGACCACAATTTTAACTAATTTTAAAGGGTACATTTTTTCGACAAAAACAACAATTATAATATATTAATAATTAAATTTAGAAAACATAAATTAAAGAAAAAATGTTTCTTCTTCCCTCTACTCCCACCCCCGTCCCCATCTCCATCCCCCAAAACCAAATCCGAAAGCCATCGCCATCGCCACGTTAAAAGAAGAAAATTTTAACTGTGTTACGATGAATGCTCAAATTGTGAAGTCAATGCAGTGTTTGTGATGGCAATGTTCATAGGCACTTTATTTACTGGCTCTCATTCTTCAGCTCCTTTTCAAAATCACAAACGTAAGGTCGATTTATTAAGTGGTATTACAAGAACTAGAGTGAATGCTTCAAAATCGTTATAATCCTTAAACACGTCCTTAAAACCAGGCACCATCACCTCAAAAGGGTTTTAGATTAAGTTTTGAGCATTGTTAATTTGATTATTGGTTAGATTATTGGTTGATTTGAGACGGTCAGAGACAGATTCTTTGGAAAATCATTTTGAAAGTCGAAACTCCCTAAACGATTTTATTATATCAATTTATTTTATTATGTAAATTGTTGTTCATATCAATATTAGTTAATGTATTAAAAACATTTTCAAGAGACTCTTTATTAATAATTTTTTTTTATTTATTTTGGAGAGTTGCTTTAAATTTAGAAAGACAATTTTTATACACTCGAACAAATTCTCTATTTTTAATCTTCATTTTATTTTTTCTCAAGAAACATTTGTTAATTTCTTTTCATATTTTATTTAATATACTTTTTTTATATGTCAATTAACCAATTAATTTAAGTATGGCTTGAATTTTTTAAAAATTAAAGTATTGAAATACATGATTTATTAAATGCAATCATTGCATATTAAAATAGAGAGTAAGTTTGACTCTAAATTTAATAGTCAAACATACTCTCTATTTTAGAACATCTCCAAAACAACTTTTTAAATATAAGATGCTTTCTATTTTAAAAAATCAACCCTTAAAATTATGTTGTAAGATACTCTTTAAATTAATACTTTAATTTACAGAGTGAGTTTGACTTTCCAAAAACGCAATCTCTATAATTAAATGCATTCAAAATATTTCAATTTTCAATTGAGGAAAATTAATATAATAATTTAGAGGAAAACTAGTAAAAAATAAAAAATCCAAAAAATAAAATAAAATCTGAGTGGTAATTAATTGTTAAATGTAAAGAACATGTTGGAATACTTAAAATTTTTTACTCTCTAATTTCTAAATTGTAGAATATGCTCTTCAAAAATAGAATTTTTTAAAAATACTCTTCAAAAGTTTAAATAGAGAGTTTCTTGGAGCTTTTTTTAAGAATTGACTATATAAAACTATATAAAATAAAAACATTTTATATTTAGAGAGTTTATTGAAGATACTCTGATTAAATTGACGAAAATAACTTTAAAATTTGACATTTTAATAAAAAGAACCTTGATATTGTCAACTTAGTGTTATTTCTGTCCATATTCCCTAATCTAAAATTACGAGGAATCGACAATGTTACAAATTCAGTCCAATTAAATGGCTTCACACGCTTATCCCAATGAGAAACGACGTCGGATTATGGCGGCGGGGTTCAGTCCGAAATTATAAATGCGAAGCAGGGGTAAAATTGGAAAAAGAATTAATAGGCGGGAAAAAGAGCCGTTGCTTACAAATCAGCAAATATTGGCGCCAAAAGTTCAATTTTTTCACACGGTTTCGTCTGCCCGAATCTTTCCGGGCAGCTCTTTCCTTTGCCCATGTATAAAACTCGGTGTATCCGGAGTAAAACGGCGGTAACTTAGTAACAAATTCCCTTTTCTCTTTTCTTTCTCCATATTCTTAGAACAAGGAATATTATCAAGAAAAAACCTTTTGGTTTATTCTTCTAATTCTCTACTTCATTTCCCCCTTTTTTGTTCCCTTTTTCGACATGGGTGTTTCGAAGAAACAAGGAGGTAAAGAATCAGAAGGCAAGAAATGGTTGATTGCTGGAATCCCAGTACGGGCTCCTTTGAAATCGATATCTACAAAGGCTAAAGAAGGATGTGAAGACTATGACGAGTGTTGTACGACTCCGCCGGCGAGAGAATCGAAGATACCGGGTATATTTACTTGCCCGGCGGCCCCAAGGAAGCGGAGGCCGAGTTTGAAATGTCATTTTGATGATGTCGAGTTCTTCAATCCACCGGACTTGGAATCTGTTTTTATTCTCCATGCTGAGAGAGCCAAATGAATCGAGAATGAATATTAGGTTAAGGGATTTTCTTCTTTTTAGGAATTTAGAAAGTTTGTTAGTTCCAAATGATTGGTAGGTTAGGCTCTGTAATGTGCAAATACTTTGTATTAATGAATCTACTAGTAAAGTTCATCGCTTGAATGTGTTTGGTTTTTCAATCTTGTTCGAGTGTGCAACTTCATTTTTGACTTGTTTTGTACATCATGCTCCTGTCTGGAAGAAAATTAATTCTGACAAATTTTGTCTAGTGTAGTAATGTTGTTTGTACATTATTTTGTACAAATTGATGTACACATCGATGATGTCGAAGAGTGAGAAAGAGAAATGAAAATAGAAGAAAATATAATTCACTTCAAAAGGTACACCAATTTGTATACAATTATGAACAATTAATATTATTCATTTTTCAATACTCTCCAAAACATTGAACATGTTCTATAACCTTGTGTTCAAATGAAATAAATTTTGGCATTAAATATTAATTAAGGGCTTGTTTGAGTCCCCCCTTTTTTTTTTTGCAATAGTGTTTTGATCTAGACTATGTGGTTAAAAAATAAGAAAAAATTTGAATTTACGTATAATATTATTTTATTGAAAAACGCTTGATTTTCACTAGGTCAAATCACTGTTTAAAAATATATTTTGGTGGAAAAATGAGGCTCAAATAAAGGCTAAGTGCAATTTTACTCAACATTTAGTGCGTGTTTGGTGGCAATTTTCATCCGTGTTTTAATGAAAAATATTGAAGTGTTGGCTGCCGTAATTGTTGATTTTCTTCACACTACAAGCCAGAAATGGGACCCACTAACAATATAAAAATGGATTTTCATTTTACAAATAGTGGAGCCAGACAAGGGACTAGTATAGTTTTGCATTATATTGCAAATATTTCAATTCTACAATGTGAATCCTAAACTCGATTCCTTCAAGTATGTCAATTCAAATGCACAATGACGATGTATCTTCAATCCGCTTCATTTGCACCCCCAACAGGCCACACCCAGGATATTTGTATTTGACACTTTTAATAGATATGGAAATCATTTTTGATGGTTGAGAGGAAATGCTTTCATCAATTGATTAACAATTGGACAAATATCTCCCACCCTTTCTTGGGCCCCAAGCACAAATTTTTCATACCCTAATTTAGTGTATATATGCCCTACAATCTATGTCCTACAACAACAACAAAATCTCTGTTGCCAACCACTCGTTCCTCGTAATGCTCCACCAAAAATATAATAGGACAAAAACTTGTGTAATTGAGAGTGTTAAATGAGAATCCTATGTGGGGTTTACAAAAACTTTAAGGTCTATTTGGTAGAAATCATATAAATTGGCCCACCCATTACTCCATGACAAAGACATTAAAAACTTCAAGATAAGACTATGACTTCCATTTTTAATTTTTAATTTTTTTTTTTACTTTTAAGCTATGCCAAACATATGCTCAAACACGTGCCCAAAAAAAATTGTGGGTTGAAATAAGCCACATACGTGACTTCAAATTTTTTGAGAACAATTGGCCCATGTTTGGCTTCGCTACTATTTATTTACCTTCATCAATATATTTTTTGGTATTCATTCTGAATATTATCTATTTACCTATAACTCATTTCTATCTATTTATAATTTAGATCGTTTATAAAAAAACTCCCAAAAATATACTCAGTCCCTATTTGACAATTATTATTTCAAAACTCTTTAGTTCTCATATTCATTTTCAATCACATATTTACATAACAAAATATTTTGCATGTAAATCAAACAATTTTTCCTACTTTTTAATCGTACATTCTCCAAATATCGCTATTCAAAATTCTATTTTCTCAAAATAATGACAACAATTATGGCTATCAAATTAAAAAAACCACTGCTCAAATATCAATCAGTCATTGGCAAACCAGATAATGAATAGTGAACAGTGATTTGACCATCCTTTCTTTTAATATAGTGATGATGATAGTGATAATGTAGGGGTTTAAAAAAAAAAGAGAGAGGAGATTTTGTGTATGTTCAGCAAAGTAAAGTTAGTAAATGAAGTTCAAAGTGTTATGGGGATCAACGTCAAATTAAAATAACAAAAGTTGAGGGCTAAATTTGTCCGATTCTCTCCAAATTAATGTTGTAATTTGTAGATTGTATTTTCATTGGATTCCCCTAAAGGATAACTCCCAAATTTTTCTTATTGTTTATCATGAGGAAGAAAATATCTGCTCTGCCGAAATCAATTTCTTTATATGGTAAAAGATAAGTAGGAATCCAAGGTAGGGAAGTCAAGTCCTTGTTTGGCAAAGTTTAAATCACTTAAAATATTTATATATATAAACCCGGCAAAAAAATTCGTGACTAAGAAAGACTTTTCTGATTACCTGTTCAAATTAAAATTTTGAGTATATATCTGTTTCCAAAACGATGTTGATTCTAATTTTTAGTAACATTGTCGATTTTGCTTTGCGGTAACGTGCTTATTCTAGCTATATAAGTAAAAGTAAGGACAACCTAATTTACTTATTTTTAATTGTGATATCAATGAAAATTACTTATGAGCTCCTAAGTAACTTTTTTAAACCTAGCCAAACCTGCACTACGAGGGACATAAAGTTGTAAGAAAATAAGAGATATCACACGTGGGCCCTTTGAGGAATCCTATGAACAAGAAATTGGGGTTAGGGAATAATCACTAAAGCCACTTGCTCAATGGGCCCTTTAGGTTATAAACGCGGTTTAAGGCTACCGCGCCGCCATTGCCGGCCCGCAAATGATTTTTGGGCTGCCCGTGAACTTCTTTTTTGGCGGGAAAGAATTTCAATTGGCGCCAACAGAGATAGCAGTGATTGTCTGTCTACGGCAGCTTGTTCGTTCAATGTGCTACAATAATAATTGTTGAAATATATTTATAATAAACAAATTTTGAACCGTAAATTCATATATTGTGACAAACACAAATATTTTCGAAGATGAAAATGAAACTAAATAACTACCAAAAATGTAATAACGTCATCATTTTCCCTCCTTGTCCCTTTAACAATGCATAACAAATAAAATCCCCAAGGTTTGCTTTCGATTTGTTTTCATTCATGTTCATGGTTGAAGAAAAAAAATCAGTAGATATCTCTTTCTAATTTAGTACTAAAGATGGGAATAAAGTGGTCCACATTTTTGTGGCATATGCTACTTTAGATATGCGTTTGGGATGTGTTTGACATGCCATATTATACCAAGTGAGAATAACTTTTATCATATTCGATGTTTGACATAGATAATATTAGGATTAAATAAACGGAAGTGCCCTGCGTACAGTGCAGTTTTTCACAAGGTCTTATAGACCCCTCACTGTAGCGTCAAGCCCCACCCACTGTGTTAAAAAAAAAAAAGTGTCCCTCCCCCAATGTGTGTAATCTGGCAGGGGCCTGTTTCTTGTAGTATGGCTCTTAAATAAATGACGAATTGCAATTGGGACTTCAAACTTATCAAATTGTTACAGATTATAACCAAACTTTTCATTTTTCCATCCATAGTCTCAAATATTTCGCCTTGATTTCAATTGGAGGATATATTGGCAGAATTCGTCCATTTGACCGTTAGTCAATCCGAAAAACCAATTTGACCATATTTTGATTAATTTTGAAAAGAAATTTGTAATTTTATATTTCCCCAAAGAATTAAACAAAAAATAAAAAAGATTGAGAATTGTTCATCTTCTTTCCCAGCCCAGCCACAAGCAAGGAAACTAAGGCAAAAAGGGGCCCAACAAATCATTCATAAACTGGAGGTCCCTTCCTCGACGATGCAATTGGATGACTCATCACAATAAATAATTATCTCTCTAATTTAAATAAAAAAAAAAATGTAGGTCTCGTCCTCGACGAAGCAATTGAAAATGAACAAAAATTCATAGTCCAAACTTTGAATAAAAGCCTCCAACAAACCACCATTGAGGGATCGAGCCATGTATGGAAAATGGGAACAGTATATTGTAGATTTTTACTTGAAAAAAGTGGACTAAGCACAAATGGGTAGCGGTGGCAAAAAAGTTTGCAGGCTCGGACTGCTCGGGCTCGGCTTGGACGGCCCGGACTTTCAAATGGGTAGTGGGGCAAAAAAGTTCGGAGGCTCGGACAGCTCGGGTTCGACTCGGAAAAAGCCCGAGCTGAGTCGAGGGTCGGGCCGAGCCCCATTTTGGGGATTCGGCCCGTGTCAAGCAATTTTTATATAATTTTTGTTTTTTTGAAATTTGAAATTTTATAATTTCTTTAATTTATAACACGTATAAAAAGTACAATTTCTTTTTTTTTTTTTTTTAATTATGAGTATTGAAGTAGTAGCATATCTTTAGAAATAACAAATAACTAAGCATATAAATTTGCCAGTCTTAATGAGAATATAATTAACTACCAAAAATGTAATAACGTCTTCATTTTCCCTCCTTGTCCCTTTAACAATGCATAACAAATAAAATCCCCAAGGTTTGCTTTCGATTTGTTTTCATTCATGTTCATGTTCATGTTCATGTTCATGTTCATTTCATGGTTGAAGAAAAAAATCAGTAGATATCTCTTTCTAATTTAGTACTAAAGACGGGAATAAAGTGGTCCACATTTTTGTGGCATATGCTACTTTAGATATGTATTTGGGATGTGTTTGACATGCCATATTATACCAAGTGAGAATAACTTTTATCATATTCGATGTTTGACATAGATAATATTAGGATTAAATAAAGGGAAGTGTCATGCGTACAATGCAATTTTTCTCAAGGCCTTACAGACCCCTCATTGTAGCGTCAAGCCCCACCCATTGTGTTAAAAAAAAAAAAAAGTGTCCCTCCCCTAATGTGTGTAGTTTGGCAGGGGCCTATTTCTTGTAGTAAGGCTCTTAAATAAATGGCGAATTGCAATTGGGACTTCAAACTTTTCAAATTGTTACAGATTATAACCAAACTTTTCATTTTTCCATCCATAGTCTCAAATATTTCGTCTTGATTTCAATTGGAG